AAGAATTTCCTCACCTCCTGGAACTCATCAGTTCCTTTTTCCTGCCTCTTTTGCAGTTCATTGTCTCTCTCTCTTCCATCTCTGTTAGCTTTGCCACTATGTATATTCTAAATTCTTTTTTTTAAATTTTTTTGGAGAGGTTTTTGCTATAGGGCACATGCGCTCGCCAGACAGAGACAGAGAGACAGAAAGCGAGAAATCACCCCCAAGGGGGATGGCTATGCTGCAATCCCTTCTCCTCCATTCTACTCTCGGAATCTTGGGCACGCACGCACATGCCAGTTTAAGCCACCGTGTCCGGGACTTGAACCACGGTCGACTACGTGGGAGTCCAGTGACATCCATTACGCTAACTGCTGGTCCCTAAATTCTTTATCTGACATTTCCATGAGTCTCATTGTACTATGAGTGGATGAAGAGGAGTTATTCTTTTCCCTTGGAGGAGAGGTATTTTCTTGCTTTCTTGTATTTCTTGTGACCCTGAAGTGATTTTTAGTCATCTGATGGATGGGGTGTTTCTTCCTAATTCTTCAAGTTCAATCTGAGCCATCAGAGGCATGCAGGAGGAGGTGATCTGCAATCTTTCTTCCGTTCCAGTTTTCACTCTTTGTGCATCAGATTTGGTGGGAATAGAGGAATATTCTGACCCTAATCATATTCAGATGCTTGGATCCTTCACTTGGATCTGTCTAGACAGTTCATAGAGGCCACTAGAAATGAATCTGGAGGTAGAAGTCTCAGCAGTAAATCTTCATTTTTAATCAAGGAAATCAATAGTTCAAAGCTCAAGTCTGGTATACATCTCAGGATGTGCCTGGGTTTGTGCCTTTTCTTATCCCACTGTCTGAAACCAAGCTTGGTAGTCTTTGTGTCTAGAAGCATCTTTTAAAAAACCAAATTAAGCAAGAGAGAAAACATTATTCTTACCTATAAGGGAGAAAAATAAATGATATCTTATAGTCAGAAGTTTAACTTTGAGGAAAGGGGAAAGCAATCCAGTTTTCAGCTTAATTTACAACTCTTAAATGTCATAAATAAATTAAAGAAAGAAAATAAAGGCTAAAAGGGTGTGTGGTGAGACGATGTAAAGTAACTATCTTTCTTGTCCCCTGGGAGAGGGTTCACAAGAGGTATCCCTGTGTGGGCTGGATAACCAGTTGGGGGTATATCATGCAGGAGGACTACTGTCTAGACTAGATCAATGTTTTCAAGCTGTGCTCTGCAGAGCCAAAAGTCATCTAGGCTGCCAGATTAAGTGACACTTGATGTATCCGTCCTCTCTGTCTGCTTCACTTAGTCAGGCTTGCTTTTAGTTTTTAAATATTGGAATTCCCTTTAAACAGTTGACTTGAAAGTAGTTCTGTTGCTAAAGAAAGATTTGCAAACTACTGGGCTGGATTAAGAGTTCCCAAATTTAGCTATTCAACAGAACTACTGAAAATGTCTTTTCAAATTAAAAAATCCCTGGACCCTACCTTTAAGAGTTGTGAAACAGTGGGAACCAGCAGTTAGCATAATGGCTATGTCGCTGGACTCCCACGTAGTTGACTGCGGTTCGAGTCCCGGACCCGGTGGCTTAAAACTCACACCAGGAGCATGTGCGTGCGTGCCCAAGATCCCAAGAGGAGAATGGAGAAGGGATTGCGGTGTGACCATCCCCTCTGGGGGGTGATTTCTCGCTTTCTGTCTCTATGTCTCTGTCTGTCTGGCGAGCACACGTGCCCTATAGCAAAAAAAAAAAAAAAAAATCTCTAAAAAAAAAAAAAAAAGAGTTGTGAAACAGTAACTTCCTGAGGGATTCTGGTAGAACCAACTCCAAACTAGCACATGCTTGAGAAGAGCTGGGCCAGATAACTCTTGCTTTCCTGAGGTTATGATAAAACACTACTTACGTTTTTAGGCAAGAATCTTGCGCAAAAGAGTAGGTTGTAAGAGATGGACAAAGAGGGGCCAGCAGATGGCATAGTGGTTAAGGCACTAGATTCCCACATGGCTAACTGTGGTCTGAGTGCCAGATCCAGAGCTTGAAACTCACACTGGCTATAGGTGCATGTGCCTCCAAAATCTTAGGAGGAAAATGGAAGAGAAAGGATTACAGTGTGGCCATCCCCCCAGGGGGGTGACTTCTCACTTTCCCTCTTTCTGACTCTCTCCCATGAACACATGCGCCCTATGGCAAAAAAAGTCCTTAAGAGAAAAAGAGAGAGCGATAGAAAAAGAGTATAGATAAACCAATGGGCCGGCCAGGGTGGCATGGTGGTTAAGATGGCTGGATCCCACATGGCCAACTGTGCAGTTTGAGTCCCAGACCCAAAGGCTTAGAAAACACATTGGGCATGTGTGTGTGTGCATGCCCAAAATCCAGAGAGGAGAATAGAGAAGGGATTGTGGTATGGCCACCCTCCCAGGGGGTGATTTCACATTTTCTATCTCTCTCTGTCTCTCTTTGGCAAGTGTACATGCCCTGTGGCAAAAATAAAATAAAATAATAATAAAATGAATTAATTTAAAAAATATCACTAAAGAGGAGCTTGCCTATGACCAGAAGTTTCTTAGGACACTTAACTGCCTAGCATAAGGTCCATTTTATCTCACAGCCTGTCCATATTGATGCTGGCACTCAAATGATTTAATTTAGTAGCTGCCCAAAAAGTATAATGTAATCTGCATTTGTAATTTAAAAATTTTCAGTAGCCACATTTTGAAAAGTGAAAATAAAGAGGTGAAATTAATGTCAATATTTAACTTAATACACATGTAGTTTTGTTCAACATATAATTCAATAGAAAAATGATTAATGAGGGGTTGGTAGATGGTGTGGTGGTTGGGGCACTGGACTCTCACATTGCCATTCACAGTTTGAGTCCCGGACCTGGCAGTTTGCTTTCTCCCTCTCTCTCTCTGACTCTCTCTAGTCAAATTGAAGAATAAAGAATAAATGAGTAAAATTAAATAAATTTCTTTTAAAAATGGTTAGATATTTTACCTTAATTTTTTGTACTAAGTCTTTAAAATCTTACAGCACATCTTGGTTCGACCTCACCACATACCTTTTATTTTTTCTTTTGATTAAGAGGTTTTTGCCTTAGGGCACATGCTGTTGTCGGAGAGATAGAGAGACAACCCCTAGTGGGGATGGCCACACCACAGATCACTTCTCCTCCATTCTCCTCCCAGAATCTTTGGCAGGCACACACACAAACCCAGTGTGATTTTCAAGTCACTGGGTCTGGGACTTTAACTGGAATTGATATACTGGTGTAATAAAAACATAAAGAGGCCATTAATCACTTCTCTAGTCTTAGTGACCCTGCTCCAGAGGCTAGTCTAATAATTTTATCTGCAGGTATCATACCCAACTTGACATCTTCAGCCCTGACTCCTTCCCTCTTCTCAGCAGTAGTATCTGTGTTCTGGATATTTTTACCTGAATGTTCTGCTCTCAAAGCCTATTCAAAATGTCTAAAATTAAATTCACCACCTTTCTTCCAAAGTGAAACATCAATTTACCTCTGATTTTTCTATTTCTATCAGTCACTTAAGATCAAAACTCCAGAGTCAAATTCATCTTCTTCCTTTATTCTGCACAAGCACCAAATTCTATTTATTTTTCCTTCACAAACTCTCTCAGTAGCCCTTTCCTGCTTCTAATTCTCCCTGCTGCTCTGTCCAGTGCAGTGGGACCAAATACATATATAGCCTGACAGTGTCCCTTATATGAATGCTTGAGGCCAAATGTGTTTCAGATTTTAGATTTTGGAATATTTGCATATATATAATGAGATAATTTGAGGATGGGAACCAAGTGTAATTATCAAATTAATTTATGTTTCATATAAATTAATACATATATATGCATAGCCTGAAGGTAATTTTATACTGTAGCATTGACTCAGACCCATTGTATGAGGTCAGGTGTGGAATATTCCACTGATGTGTCATGTTGGTACACAAAAAGCTTAGAATCTTGGAGCATTCTGGATTTTGAACTTTTGGATTACAGATGTTCAAACTGTCCTTAATACACTACGTATGATGTCATTTCTCTTCTGTGGCTCTGTAATGACTTCAGCTACAAATTGGGACCACAAACAACCTTATTAGTACTCCCATATCTGGCCTACATCATTCGAACAATATCTTTCACAATTTCCTAAAAAAGTCTTTGTTTTAAAGGTAAATTACCCTGTGTACTATCTCCTGGAAATGATTTTACTTCTTCATCTTCATGTTTTATGACATTCAACTCAGCTAGAATAACTTCCTCCAGATTTTCCTATCCAAATCATTACTGAACAAATATTTATGTGCCAGGTATTATGTGAGGCACTGAGACAGAATAAATAACCCTAATCTTAGTTTCCCCCACTTTAGGAAATCCTGACTAAGCCCACCGGAAGTGGTTTTACATCACTGAGTTGTTCTTATAAGGTGCATAGTCTTTAATACTCACTAAGCTCTAAGAATTTGTTACCTTGCATTGCTAATTATCAACTCTTCCTATAAATACCTATCATCCCCAATACTGTGGGTTTCCTGAAAGCAAGGACCAGGGTCATAGCAGTGTGTTCTCCCTGGTGCTCAGTAAGTAAAGTACTGGAAACAAATTTGCTGATTGACAAGTTACCTGTTAAAGAGGGAAGAGTCTATGGGGCAAGAGGAGGGCCCCACCTAGAAAAAGACAATCCCCACCAACCCTAAACCTCCTCCCAGGGATATACTGGCAAATCAGGATCCAAAGTAAGCAGGGAGGGCCTGCAAGAACCCCAAAGCTGCTCAAAGCACTTGGGAAGTTCCACTTTCCAATTTCACTTGTAAAGACATTTAGAATTGGCAACATTTAAGATAGGATCAGCTCCTCTGGCTTTTAGATCTCTATGAAGTTAAGAGATCAGCTTTAAAAGTCTTTTTTTTTTTTTTTTTTTGGTACCAAAAGAAACTAATACCACTGTTGCTATTTAATAAATATACATAATATTGGATCTAAAATTAAAACTTACCACATGTTGTGTTCAAAAACTTTGGCAGGGTCTGATAAAATCCTTGATCCTAGAGGGGCCACTGGGTGGTAACCACTTTGGCATCTGTGTGGCACCTTTCCTAGCCTTAGACAGGAAATAGAATTTCTCCAAATCATATTCATTGTAAGCAGCACCTGAAAAGTTACAAATTTAGTCATTATGGATTAAATAGAATATTGTTTCTCTAATGCAAAAATCTGACCCAAAATGTTTACAACCTGAAAAAGAACATGAAACTAAAAAAGTGATGATTTTTACAAAGTTAATGTATTAAGTATACATCTAGCTGTGGAATTTAGGCCTGCTAATGAAAACACAATAAATAAGAAAATTTAAATAGATAACGTCTAGTTTCATATGTGAGGCAGATGATGTAATACTGTTGACTATAGTTGCAAAATATGTAATTGAAGTAAATAAAAATATTGATTTCCAGAAAAAGCTATATATTTATAAATATATCATGAGATAGCAATGGCATTTTTATTCTTGAAATGCTAGGATGAACCAAGTGAAATCTTGAAGAACTTAAATAGCTAAATATTGGTAATTTTATGTGGTTTCACCCAAAATATACATTTATACTTTCAACTGTTTTATAAAGGCTAAGATTCAAATTAAAGTGTTATAAGCCAGTACAAATTTCATTTTACTTTATTTGACTTACAGGTAATCTTTTCCCATTGTATTTAAATTCCAAACAAAGTACAGTTTTCTCCATAATAAAATTTTTTTCAAATGGAAGATGGACAAGAGAGCTTCTCTCCTGAAGTATTTTTCAGGCCAAGAGAGGAGGAAAAGAATATTTAAAATAGGTGACACTGGCTGGCATTCTTTATAAATAAGCCACAGCCTTGCCCAGTTTTGCTTTGCTGCTGGATATTTACTTTTTATATTTTTAGCACATGGCCAAAGCATGTAAGGCCAGAATCTAAATTTTGCATATCAAAGAGACTTTTTTTTTTGGAGAGGTTTTGGCTCTAGGGGATGTGTGCTAGCCAGAAAGACAGAGAGAGACAGAGAGACAGAAAGTGAGAAATCACCCCCCAGAGGGGATGGCCACGCCGCAATCCTTTTTCCTCCATTCTCCTCTCGAGACCTTGGGCACACATACACACACACGTGCCTGGCATGAGTTTAACAACCAGGTCCAGACCTCGAACTAAGGTCTACTACATGGGAGTCCAGTGACATAGCCATTATACCAACTGCTGGTCCCAAAGAAACAGTTTTTCTCTTTTTTTTGGAGAGATTTTTGCTATAGGGCGCGTGCGCTTGCCAGACAGAGAGAGACATAGAGATAGAAAGCGAGAAATCACCCCCCGGGGGGATGGTCACGCCGCAATCCCTTCTCCTCCATTTTCCTCTTGGGATCTTGGGCACGCACGCACACGCACCCGGCGTGAGTTCTAAACCACTGGGTCTGGCACGCGAATCGCGGTCGACTACGTGGGAGTCCAGCGACATAGCCATTACGCTAACTGCTGGTTCCCGAAACAGTTTTTCAAAAAGTGATTTTACTAATATTTTTAGGATACGAGGCAGACACATTTATAGAGAATATTTCATGACCACTAGTCCAGAAATCTAAGAGTAGTTGCAGAATAAGAAAACTAATCTATTAAGTTTCATTTTCCATGCTGATCTGAATAGTATGAAAATTAGTTAAGTAAATGAATGCAGTATTAAGCCAGGATCTCAGCAATTCTTAATTCTCACAAAACCTGTGTATCTATATATTTTTTAATAATCATATTTTTAAAAATCTTTACTTATTCATTTTAATTTGACCAGAGAGATGGAATGAGAGAGAGAGAGAGAGTGAGTGAGAGAGAGTGGGAAAGTGAGAAAGCAAGCCACCAGATTTGGGATTCGAACTGTGATTGGTGATATGGGAGTTCAGTGCCCTTAACCACCACACTGTCTGCTGGCCCCTGTATCTGTATTTTTAAGAGCAGTCAGGGGCTGGTTCCATAGCACAATGGTAAAGTGCACCATATCCCACATGGCTGACTGAGGTTCAAATCCTGGCCCTGGTGGTTTGAAAAACACACCAGGTATGTATAGATATGTGCCCCAAATCTGACCAGATGAGGAAATGGACAAGGGATGGCTTTGCCCCCCTGGGGGTGCTTTCTTCCTTTCTCTCTGTATCTCTTTCTCTCACCGGTGAGCACACTCACCCTTTGACAATTAAAAAAAATCTTTATGGCAAAACATTAAAAAGATGCTCTAAAGAACTTTATTCTTTCAGTAAGATCCCATTGCAGAGCCAGCAGGTGGTGCAGTGGTTAAGGTACTAGATTCCCACATGGCCAACTGTGTTTAAAGTCTCAGACCTGGTAGTTTGAAAATCATGCCAGGCACACATGTGCCCAAAATCCCTAGAGGAGAATGGAGGACAATGGACTGCAGCATGGCCATCTCCCTTGCCAGGCTGGAGGTAGTGATATCTCACTTTCATTCTCACTGTTTCTCTCTCTCCCTCCCTCCCTCCCTCCCTCCTGCCCTCCCTCTTTGACAAGCACACATACCCTATGGCAAAGACCTTAGAGGAAAAAAAAAATCCATTGTAATACACTTGGCATTTTAGTCGTTCATCACAATATTCACCCTAATCCTGTAAGCTGTCAGGTAGAAACAGATGCTAAAAGGTGTTGTGTACATAATTGCCTCAGGATCTACTGGAAAGTGCTATTAGGCACAAAAATGTCATGTATCATACACCTTTACCACCTTATTGAAAAATCAATGTTTAAGACTGTGAATTCCAAAACAAACTGTAGAATGTTGAAAACATCTTATTGTACTTTTAAACACAGGTTTAAAATTTTTCAAGGTTTTATTTTTTTGGGAAAAAAAAACAGACTTATTTATACACACCAAAAAGACTGTAATGGTTTCATTCAAAGGAGACTAACAGCAATGAGAGTGAAGCATTCAGGAGCTAGTGCAGATGCTCCTGTTTCTTGTTTGTTTTCCCTTTGCCACTAAATGCATGCTCTTTGGTGGAGGCAAATGAAATGAAATGCTCCACCTACCACTACCTTTACTCTGATGTGCTTTTGTTCTTTTTGCCTGTCAGTGTTCCACAGAAGACTAACAAAATGCTACCTACAAAATTATTTTTAGAGCTCTTTCTGTACTGAATATTATTCATAAAAATCTTCTGTATGCTGAAGAGCAGAAACTGATTGCACCTAGAAAGAGAGGCAATTCATGCTTAAAGTGTAAAATGGTGTAAACGTTTCCCACCCAGGAAAGCCAAATCAAAATGAAATTTCAATTCTTCAAACAATCATGTGATACTTATCTAGGTCTACCTATATATAGAAAAGGAAGAGGGAGGGAAAATAAAGGACAAGAATTTCTCTCTATAAATGATTGAGAACTTCTGTAGATAGTCCGACACAAAGACATAACCAGGCTTGATAGGAGGCAATTCAGAAAAATGTAGGGAAGTGTGAGGCTTGCAGGATGCTAGCCTGTGGAGAGAGCATTATAGCTAGGGCCTGAACATGGCAATTTCCCTGCTTAGCCATTTTTCTCATTAACCACATAAACACTTTTATCTATTTCATTTACTTATTAGCTATGACAATCATACACAGCACGTGTATTGATCCCTTTTAGATATAAATGTTTAATTTTATATAGTAGAATATGTACAGGAATGAGAAATGCACAATAGAATTCTTTTTTTTTCTCCTAGTTTTGCTTTGGGCATGTGTGCTTGCCAAAGAGATACAGAGACAAAGAGGAAAAGTAAGAAAGCGCCGCCCAGCAGGGATGGTCATATCACAATCCTTTCTCCTCCATCTCTCCCTCCTGTTGGGATTTTGGGCATTCACACAGGCCTGGTAGGTCTTTTAAGTCACCAGGTCCAGACTCAAACCATCGTCTGTCATGTGCGATCCAGCTGCCTTAACCACTACGCTACCAACTGGCCTTCTCCACTAAACTGCAAGCTTCTAGAGGCAGCACCAAGCTGCTCATGCTTTTTTGACTGATTACATAAAAATCATGCTTGTGTAGGGCCAGCAGGTGGTGTGGAGGTTAAGGTGCCGGACTCCCACATGGCTGACCAAGGTTTGAGTCCCTAACCTGGTGACTTGAAAATCATGCCTGGTACAGGTGCATGTGTGTCCTAAATCCTAAGAAGAGAATGCAATAGACTGAATTGCAGCATGGGCATTCACCTTGAGGGGTGATTTCTCACTTTCTCTCTCTGTTTCTCTCCGGCAAGCATGTGTGCTCTATGGGGGGGAGGGGGGAAGGGGAGGGAGAAAAGAAAGAAAATACTGTGTGACAAAAATTGAACTGGAGGGAAGTCACTTCACACCTTCTAGGAACAACCCTAAGATCCTTGCAATGAGGAAGAAAGAAGAGAGAGAAGTGTATGACAGTATGTAGGCAGCTATACGGTTATACTGACTACAGTGATTAACAAGTATGTGCCTCATATAATAATTACCATGTTAGCATAAAGGTTTACTAGGTCATTGTTACGTTCTGTGATTGGAAAAGGAGAGAAGTACAGGGACAGCTGCAAATAGACTTCTGGTGGAGGTTAGTTTTTGCCACTTGAGTGACTCATTCCACCTAAGTACTCTCTCTCGACTCTCTTATTCACATAATAAATATTATCCACATAACAAACCCGTGTGGATAAGTAATTTTTTAATTGGAAATAACACAAAGAGGTGTAATTTAAAATATTCTACCCCCCCCAAAAGAAGGTAAGAAAGAGAAAGCAACAGAAAAAAAACAAATAGAAAACAAACGATCAAGATGGCATATTTATATTAACCATAACAATAATTGCATTAAATGTAAATAAACTCTAATTAAAAGGAATAGATTGTTAACTTGAATAAAAAAGTAAGATCTAAGAATATACCATCTATAAGAGAAGCTCTTATATAAAGACCCATGTAGATTAAAATAAAAAGATATACCCTGCAATCACTACATGAGAAACCTGGTAGGCTATACAAACAAAGTAGACTTCAAGTAAAAGCCTAGGGATAAAGAGGGACATTTAATAATGATAAGAGCCAATTCATCAAAGTGATACAACAATCTTAAATGTTCATGTGTCTAATAACAACGTTTTGAAATACATGAAGCAAAA